TAATTGCCTCTGAGCCAAACACCAATGACATGAATTCCCCCAGTCTTATTCCAAATTATATGCTCCTGGATTTATTCCTTAGTAGAAATTGAAAGGAGATTGAGAGAGAAAGAGAGTTGGCGAATAGGATAGGGTGTGAGGGTGCTTTCACATGAATTTCATTAATTCTCTCGTAAGATTTTTTAACCTTCACACAGGAGATAAATTTGCCACAAGATACACCATCATTAACCAAGAAATTCAGGATAGTAGATGGAAAACACTATTTTTGTTTTTGCTTTTCTTTTCTTTTTTTAGTACTGGAGATCGAAATCTGGACCCTGCACTTGTGAGGCAGGCAGCAGAACCACTGAGCTAAATCCCCAGCCCAAGGGAAGACACTATAGCCCCACAATTGTTTTAATTCTGAGTTCCTCTAGTGAGACTGTTCCTACTTTATGATGCCTTTAATTTAGAACACTGTAATATAAAAAATCTTGCAAAGTTCTCATTGAAGACAACAGTCACTCCCTGCCCTCTCCCCCAACCAGCAATTCCTTATCAACAAGGTAACCCACCTTGCCTGGAATACTCCTGGCTTATGCTTCTTATCTGGTATAATTATTAATAGCACCTCCTTCCACACTCAAAAGCATCCCATTTTACACAATAAATTATATGGTCTTCCTCAATATGAACACACAGTTATGCTTTTCCCAGAGTAAATTTGGAGAGAAGATTAATATTATTGAGTGTTCACTTTTATTGAACATTGAACTAGAAACTGTAGAATTAATTTATGTTACATTCCAGCACCATTACAGGCAGCAGGCAAAGCTTATTAGAAGCTAGAGTTGAGGAAAGTAACGTTCATCAGCTATGAAGTAAGCCCAAGGCCATACAGTTTATGAATGGCTACGTAAAAGTCAGAACCCAGGTCTAAAGTTAAAACCACTGTTCTTCCCACAATCCCTTTTCAATGAAAGGAAAATAGACCAAATTTTACCGTCTACTCCTGTAGATTTGAAAAGTTTATCATTCCTCCTTACCACAGGTCAAGGTACCTGGCATTCACTATAACATAAATGTAGGTGACCTCAGGTGGAAAATTAGCTGCAAAGATGACCACCCACAATACCTGTGGTCCCTGCATCATGTTCTATCCAGAAGTGGTATCTGCTGCTCCTCCCTTAAATCTGGGCTGGCGCTGTGACTGGCTGTGACCAATGGATCTTACTAAAGCTGACAATGTGCCAGTCCCGGGCTTTAAGAAGACTGCCAGCTTCCACTTATGCTTTCCTACAATCCTGAGCTTCCACATAAAGAACTCTGGGCTGTCTTGATGGGAAGAGAGACCCCATGAAGAGAAGCCAGGTGAAGAAGTCTGGAGGGTAGGGAGCACCAAGGCCCAGCATGTGAGTGACCCGCAGCCTTCAGATCAATGGTACATCCGGATCAGACTCAGTCAACATGTGGAGCAGAGATAAGCCACATGTGCTGAGCCCTGCCAGGACTTCCTGACTCACAGAACTGTGAGCAATCCAAGGATACTGTTTTAAGGCACTGGATTTTTAGACAGATTTGCACTACAGCACTAATAATAACAGACACACTTTTTCCTTATTCTCTTATCTCTCACTCAACCACCTCCCAGATTCCATTCTACCTGGGTCTTTTGAGAAGCCAGAAAATGATATCCAGGTAGAAAGACTTCCCTGAAGCCAAATAGGCTGGCAGACTTGTTCCCTCCTTGCTACACTTCCACCTTGCTTTGCTTTGGATGAAATTCTAAGATTTTTCCCATTTCTTACTTTGAACATACCTTTGCCTTATAATTCTAAGTCTGCTACCATAACCAGTTTAGATCTTTCCTCAGAGAACTTAAAAACCACAGTTTTCGTATGGCTGGTTTTTAGTGTGAGGAAGACCTGCAAATGCACGTGTATACTGTATTTGTGAGCATGTATCTTTATTCATAATTTTCTGGTTCTTAACAATGTCAAAATTAAACCTAATTCTGGAAGTAGTTGAGTGATGCCATATACATGGATATCCAATCTCTTTAAATGAGTTTATAGGTGCCAACAAAAAGTGTACCAATTTCCAACAAGAATTACCTTCCAATTTTGTTTAAAAGATTCTTTAATCCAATTGGATTCATTCAGTAATCACAACATGAATATGCCACATTGACCTAAAAAGATTATTCAGTGTCCTAAGAGGCCTAAACTGTTTCCAATGGCAACCAGAGAATGAGCTTGACATCTTAGCCTACAAAAGCTGTAGAGTCCATCCATATGATGAGCCCAGCAGAGAACTGGGAGGTTTATGACATTTTAATCATTGATAATTTTGGTCGTGCTGATGAGAAGACTTTTTAATGGGAGGCACTTGGAGAGGATTTCAAGAAGAGCTGCCAAGGTAATTAAAACAGCCTAATAAATTGGTTTGAAGAATAGGCCAGGCCGTCAAAACGCCCATCAGTCTATCTGACCCAGCCCTTCGCTGGCCACCTCCATCTATTCATCAGATGTTTTCAGCCTTAATTGAAATTGACAACACAATGATGACAAAAATGTGCCGTGGCTCAAGCAATACATCCAACCTCATAATCCTCCAGATAATGTGGCACTAAATAATGAGATAAATCATTTATACCCTGCCAACTTCCTGAAAGTACTTAAAGGCAGCTTACATTTAAAAAATGAAGTCTGTTATACAAAAGTAACACAAGCTAATGGCCAGGCTCAGCCATACTAAAATGTGTAGAGGATGTGGTAAAGAAGTAGAAATTAAGCCAACTAAAATAATAAATGAAGAAACAGGGTATATTAATACAGATAATACTTTCACTATAGCATGGAGGATCAGTGGTAAGAGGGAAGAACATAATCAGTGAAACATAGAGGAGACAGGAGAAGGGGAAGGCAGAATGCCACATATTTCCTCTTCAAGCCTACATAAAATAAATGATTCTTCGGCTTTTGAGTGCATCATTTAACTTTCACAGCTATGAATGCGAAAAAAATGAAGACTCTAAGATTAAGCAACTTGCCCAAAGTCTTACAGCCAGAAACCCATAGAACAATGTGCCCAAGCTAAAGTCACCTGACTCCAAAGCCAGTGCTCTTGCTTCCCAAAGCACTTTCAATCAACAAGGAATTTTTTCAAGGTCACTGAGCAGTAAAATAAATCATTTTATGCAAAACAACTCTTTTACCAGGCCAGGGTGTTCCTGAGGGTCTATTTTCAGAGGACAAGTACAGATGGAGCAGTTTTATAGTAGTTAGGGGCATGAGCTCTGGAGAGGAAAAGAAAATATTTCAGTTCCTGTTGCAGCACTCCCTAACTTTGGCAATTCACACCTCTTGGAGTTTCAATTTCCCCATCATAAAAGTGAGAACAACCAAGCCGACTCGTGGGATGGTGAAAAGATTACATAAAATATGTAATGCTTTGGAAAGCGTTTAGCTAGAACTTAATGATGTAAGCAGTAATATTTTATTCTCACATATACACAAAGAGATATCCTTGTTAAGACAGTCATCGCTTTACTGAAATATTTACAGATAAAATACCCTACTGCCTGGGCTTTGGTTTAAAGTATTTAATTTAAGAAGGAAAGTGAAGAGGTTGCTATGTAACAATAGATTAAACAAAACCAATGAATGATGACTGTCAAAACTGGATAAATCTGGATCACAGAGTTCATTAGTTTCCTCCCTTTTTGTTAGCACATACTTGTGAAGCATAACGAATATACTCATCGTGGGGAGTTAGTACATAGACATTTCACTATCAATCCTTCCCTTCCCCTTCCATAACCAAGCTCCCCTTCCCATCTGAAAAACATCTGCCTCCCTGTTTCCTATCATTTCTTTTATGTTGTTCTTTAAATTATTTATATTTTGGGTTTATCATAGAAGAGAAACTGTGATATTGAACCTGCTGTGTCCGATTTATTTCGCTTAGTACTATGCTCTCGAAGTGAATCCAGTTTTCTACAAATGACTCAAAACTGTCCTTTATGGCTGAGTAGTACTACATTGTGTACATAAATACGCTTTCTTTACCCCTTCATCTGTTGATGGACATACAGGCCATTTCCATGAGTTAGCTACTGTAAATTGTGTGGCTATAAACACGGATATGCACATATCATTATAATGTGATTGAGTTAAGCAACTCTTTGGGGAAGATATCTAGGAATATAGCTAGATTTAACAAAATTCCTATTTTTTAGTTTTTTGAGAAATCTTCACACTGATTTCCATAGTGGGTGTATAGTTTACATTCCCATTAGTAATGCAGAAGGGTTCCCTTTTCTCCATAGCCTTGCCAGCATGTGCTGTTTTTTGAGTTTGTTTGTTTTTTTGGTACCAGGGATTGAACTCAGGTCCATGCACTTGCGAGGCAAGTAGCGGAAACACTGAGCTAAATTCCCAGCCCACTTTTTTGAGTTCTTGATGATAGCCATTCTTACTGTAGTAAGATAAAATTCCTGTGCAGAACATCCTAATAAGATTACTGACATTGAGAAATGGGAAGAAAGGAGCTAAAGGTGTAGGGAAGGTGGGACGGATAGGGGAAGGGTAAAAAGGGAAAAGAAAAAAATGTGAGATAATGAAAAGATGGAAATAAAGTGGTTGTAGATGGGAAGGGGAGGAGGGGGTGAAGGGAGGGTAGGGACAAGGGGAAAAAATGAGAATCAAGACTTGTCATGTAGAGGTACAAGATCCCAACAGTGAATGTAACTGTACTGTATCCCTAAAATGTACCAATAAACTTAATTAAAGCTGAAAAAAAAAACAACAAAACAAAACAAAACCAAATCCCTGTGCAGTCTTTTTTTTTCATAATAAAAGTGATTTTATTATTTCATTTTAAAGAGAATTCATACACCACTGATTATACAGAGGCATTTGTCAATGTACTTTTCTGTCCATTTAAGAAATCAGAATACACCACGATAAGAATTAGTAATGCCATGACAAGATCACTGGTTATTATCTAGGGTACAAATACACACTTAACTGTTTCACGCTTTATTAACCACAAAGGAAGAGTCAGCATCTTTGCCTTCGTTGCACAGCGCTGAAGCAGGAGCCTGGGAGGGCAAGGTGGCAGTTTCCTCGGCAGGAAAGGTTCATGCCCCAGAGTCCTGTCATTTTGGAAGGTTAACCCATGTTCTGTCGGTTGCCATAGCCCCGTGGATGGGTGTCCTTCCAGTCATCCCACTCCCGTGCTCTGTGGAGTACCTTCTCATCTTCTTCTTTTTCCTTTTCTTCATCCTCCTGTTGCTGAGCCACTCTTTTAAAATCAACTGATGTTGTCTTGGCTTTTCCCTGGTCTGGTAATGCTCCATATTTCCGATGCTGCTCATACCAGTCACTCACTGTCATAGTCGCCAGACTTGGATAACCAGCTCCAAATACTTTGGCTTGGGCCTTGTCACGAGTGAGTATGAAGGACTTCGTTGGAGGTCTCTCCTGAACAGATGAGTGAGAAGATGATGCCTCTCTTGAAGAGTCTCTTTCTCTCAGGATCTGTATTTCCTGGTCAATGCTTTCAATCTCTTCTAAACTGATTCCAATCCACCTCCGAAGGTGAAGGAGGTAATATTCACGGACTTGCTCATCATCTGCTTGACCACCTTCCACTGCAGATTTCAGTGCAGACAACCTATGCTCCGCTTCTTTCTTCTGCCTGTATCTCTCTATTTTAGCCTGTCTTTGAGATGCCATCACAACGAGGTTAGCATAGGCCACCGAGGGATTAGCAGTGTTATTTTCAGCTGAGTTGTTCTTGGTTTTGGGCAGCTGAAACTCTCCCACATGATAATAACGGCACTGAGTTAAGTAGTTTAAAAAATGTTCCCGAGCCTGCTGCAAATGATCTAGACGCTTGCTGGGGTTGACTTGTTTCATGGTGAGGGCTCCTTGAAACGCTGGCACCATCAGGTATTTCAGGTCGATGGAAGCAATTTCTTCTAAATCTTCATTTTGGCTGAACAAATCGAGCTGCGATAACATTTCAGCAGCCTTCTCCAGCAGGTCCAGTCCTTTGAACACTTTATCTTGGATTATCCCGGAACCGGTGGTTTCATTCACTACTTCTACTTCCTCCAGAAGCTGTTTGCTGGTTTCGAACAGCTCGGGAAGCTTAGGCAGCTGTAACCCATCTTCTGACGCTGCCATCTTGAGAGACTCCATGTGCAGTCTTGAGTTACAGTTCTCTAATGGCCAAAACTGCTGAATACTTTTTCATGTGTGCACTGGGCATTTGTTCTTCTTCTTCTGAAAAACAGCAGCTACTCATTTCAATTGTCCATTTGTTGATTGGATCTTTTGCTTCTGGAGGTCTATTTTTAGTTTTTTTATATTATCACTATTAGTCCTCAGAGGAATATCTGGCAAAAACTTGATAAGGTGGAAGTATTTAACACTATACATACCCCAGTATGACTATTTCCTAAGGAAACATTTGTATTACTTAAATATAGATAAACAGAGGGGAGAGAGAAATGGACAGATAGACACATACATAGATAGAATCAAAGAATCAAAAAACCTAACAGAAGAGAAAAAATAAATGCTCCTCTCATTCACTCAGACACAACTCTAACATAATGCAATGTTAGAATTTTGTTTATACTATTTTAAAAATCTGGAAGGGTGAAGGGGGTGAAAAGAGGGCAGGGGTATGGGGAAAAAATAGGAAACAAGATATATCATGTAAAGGTACAAGATCCCAACGATAAATGTAACCATATTGTTTGCTTTGAATGTATCAAGAGACTTAATGGAGCCGGGTGTGGTGGCACACGCCTGTAATCCCAGCAGTCAGGAGGCTGAGGCAGGAGGATCGCTGTGAGTTGAGACCAGCCTGGGCTACGTCAGTCTCAAGTACATAGAGAGACCCTGTCTCAAAAAAAACAAAAAAGGAAAAAGAAAAAAAGAAACTTAATGGAAAAAAATAAGAAAAAAAATCTGTGCACTGGGCAGGGTGGTATACGCCTATTATCCCAGCACTCACAGCGCTCTGGAGACTGAAGCAGGATAATTACAAATTTGAGGCCGGCTTGAACTACTAGTGAGACCCTGCCTCAAAATAAAATCTATGCATTTGCTACCTGAAATTAAACTGGGTTGTGAAGGCACAATCACTCACCAACTCATTTTGCCTCTTTATTCCTACCATGTCAACTGATCACTATATAGCCATGACGGGAATCCATCTTAACAATGTGGAATTTAAGGCCGGGCATGGTGGCACACACCTGTAATCCAGCACTAGGGAGGCTGAGGTAGGAGAATCGCTGTGAGTTCAAGACCAGCCTGAGTTATATAGTGAGTTCCAGGTCAGTCTCAACTACATAGTGAGACCCTGTCTCAAAAAACCACAAAAAAAAAATGTGGAATTTAATATATCTAGTTCCCATTAGCATTTTTCATCAACATGAGTGGTAATAAGACCAGTATTCTGGAACCTATGTAGTGATCTGTAGGTGATTATTTCAATATTATCCAAATTCTGTAATCTTTACAATTAGGTTCTTGCAAAAGTTGTTTGCAGATATTTGCCTCCAGCTAAATTATTTTATGAGACTTTAAACTATCTTTAGTTTTGGTGACATCTTTCCTTTAAAAATCAAGAGCTAAATGGCAAAGAAAGTCTTTGTCTGTTATGGTTTATGTCTAGATGCCCACCACCACCAAGCCTCCTGTGGTCATACGCTACTTTGGAGGCAACTGAATCTAAAGTGTGTAATTGATTCATGGTGGGGCTAGGCCCAAGGGTACCAAGATTAAGGGTATGACTGTTACCTGCCCTATGAAGTCTTTATAAGCTAAAAGGGGCCTTACTACCTTATCTTACTTCCCAAAGGCTCCATTTTCAAGTATCATCACTTTTTTTTGGCCCATAAGCTATCCTTTATCTTTTTTTCTCTCATTGAGTTTTTTGGACATTTTAGGTATACAGTACAGTTACATTCATCATTGGGATCGTGTACCTTTACATGACAGGTCTTGGTTCTCATTTTTTCTCCTTACCCCTGCCCTCCCTCAAATATCATCACTTTTTTGAGGGGCTGGTGTTGGGGCAGTTAAGGCTCTGGCTTCAACATATACATTTTGGGGGAGACAATAATCCACAGCAATTATGCTCACGGGCTGGGATCCTTGGATAGGATTAGTGTCCTTAGTGCTGTCAGAGTGCTTGCTCTCCCTAGTCCTCTGTGTACAAAGAGGTCATGTGAGCACACAGCAAGATGGCAGCCACCTAAAAGCCAAGAGAAGAAGCCACAAAATGGAATATACTTTGCTAGTACTTTGATCTGGAAATTCTAGGCCTCCAGGACTACAGGAAAAAAATATATGTTGTCTATGGTATTTTGCTAAGGAAGCTCAAACTAAGACATGCATCACTTATATGCCTCTAAAGCCCTAGTCATCTGACACAATGCCTGGCAAACAAGAGATGCTTAAAAGTTTATGTGGAAGCCAGGAATGGTGGTACATGCCTGTAATTCCTGCAATCTGGGAGGATAAGGCAGGATGAACACAAATTCAAGCCCAGCCTGGGTAATTTAACAACTTAGTGAAACACTATCTCAAGAAAAAGAAAAGAAAAGAAAGGAAGGAAGGAAAAGAGAAAGAAAGAAAAGAGAAAAGAAAAGGGCTGGAGATGTAGCTCACTGTGGAAGCCCTGGGTACAATCCCCAGTGCTTTAAAAAAAAAAATGTTTATGTTAAACGAATACCATTTATTGAACTGGGTAATGTACAACAGGCTTAGGTGGAGAAAGGTGAGGGCAGTGTGAGGTTGGGAAACCAGAATCATCCTGCTATTCATTTGATTTCCAGAACGTATTCATACTAAAACTTTATACCCTTTGATAAGCACCCCCGCTCGCTTCTGTGGTTTACTTGACACCCTACTCTCACCACTAGTAAACACTGCTGTGCTCTTTGCTTGTATGAATTTAACACTTTTAGATTCTACGTGTAAGAAAAATCACGTGGTATTTTTCTGAGTCTGGATTATTTCACTTAGCAAATGCGTTCCAGATTCAGCCACATTATTGCAAATAGAAGAATTTCCCTCTTTAAGGCTTAATGATTCCCACAACTTTAACTGTGGTCTCTCTTTTTCTTTTTATCTTTCTCCTCCACCTGAGCAATTTCAAATGATCTCTCTTCAAATTTGCATATTATTTCCTCTACTTAATCAAGTCTGCTTTTGAAGTTCTGTTATTTTATTATTCATTTTTTTGTATTCTTCATCTCCAGGATTTTGTTTTTTTATCACAATATTGTTTATTATGTGATTTTTTTAGAAAAAATACAGAAATGCAATATATATAGAGAGAGATATATAGATATCTATATATATATGCAGATTGGTACTTTTTTCTCAAGAGACTATGATGCCCACATCTAGTAAAAATAAAGAGACTGCATATAAGTAGAAATAAGTGGGTTTTTAGCAACACAATTTTCCTGAAAATGATGTATAAATGAATTTTTCCCCTGCTATTTACCATAAAGTACAAAAGGGAGGTAGATGCCCATTTCTAGTAAAAATAAAGAGACTGCATATAAGTAGAAATAAGTGGGTTTTTAGCAACACAATTTTCCTGAAAATGATGTATAAATGAATTTTTCCCCTGCTATTTACCATAAAGTACAAAAGGGAGGTGTAGAGAAAAGTGTCCTTATTGGTTTCTACCATTTGAAAGATGCTATATTCTATTTTAGCTGGGCCAAAGTATGGAAAATATCTAAATTAAATGTTATTACAAAAATAAAGGAATGAATCTCCAGAATTTTGGTTTCATTTTTTTTATGATTTTGATCTCTTTGTTGACCTTCTCATTTTGTTAATATATTATCCCAATTTCAAGTTGCCTGTGTTCTCTTGCAATCTGCTGAGATTATTTGAATTCTTTGGCAATTTACCAATCTCTATTCTCTCCCTCCCTCTATCTCTCTGTGTCTGTCTCCCTCCCTTGCTCTTTCTCTGCATTATGATTTGTACATAAAATGCACCCCAGAAGCGTCACCTTTATAGACTGGGCCTGGTTGGAAGGTCCCCAAGGACACGACTCGGAGGGATACATTCTCACGCTCAGACCCGCCCCTCTTTTTGCTTCCAGGCCCACGGTGCTGCCCTGCCACACCATTTCTGCCCTAGAGCCGGCCAACCACAGAGTGAATCTACCAAATCTGTGAATCAAAATAAGCCTCTCTTCTTTTAATTTGCAGATGTTGAGTATTTTTTTCCAGCAATTGCAAAGTGACTTAGACCAAAAATTGGTACCAAGAGTGGGATCGTTGCTGTGAGTACAACTCACCACATGGCTCAGAAGCCTGAGGGACTTCTACGGACTGTCATGGAAGGAATATGGGCATGTTTAGAGATTCTGGCTGGAGAAGCCTTACACTGCTTTAAGAAGAGCCTGGAATTTCAGTTTTTTTTTTAATTTGCATCTCTAGAATGACCACTGATGTTGAACATTTTTTCATATATTCATTTGTGTTTCTACTTCATCTGAGAAGTTTGTATTCATCTCAGATGCCCATTTTTGGATTGGGTCTTTAATTTCAAGGGGCTGATTTTTCGTATTCTACATTCTAGATATTATCGTTTGTCTGAAGAACTGCTGAACAAAATTTTTTTTCCCACTGTGTGGCTTGTCTTTTCACTCTGTTGGTGATTTCTTTTGTTGGACAAAAGTTTTTTAATAAGATTAGGCCCCAGTTATTGATTCTTTGTAGTATTTCCCATGCAATCTAGGTTTTGCCCATGCAATCTTTACCTACTCCTTTATCCTCAAGCATTCTACCTACTCTCTCTTCCAGCAGATTTAATGTCTCTATTTTAATACTTAGATCTTTGATCCATTTTTATTTCACTCTGGAAAGAATGGCTATCATCAAGAAATCAGCCAAAAATAAATATTGGTGAGGCTGTGGAGGAAAAGGAACCCTTCTCTGCTGTTGATGGGAGTATAGACTGGTGCAACCAAGCAACCACTGTGGAAATCAGTGTGGAGATTTCTCAAAAAACTAGGATAAGTTATTCAATTTGACCCAGCCATTCCTCTTCTGGGTATCTTCCTAGAAGAATTAAAATCATACCACAGAGATATATAAGCACCCATGTTTAGAGCTGCATAGATTGTAATAGCTTGGAAACAACCCAAATGCCCATCAACTGATGAGTGGATAAAAACATGGTTTTTTATAATGAAGTACTATAAAGCCATAAAGAATAAATCAGAGATGTTTCTAGGTAAATGAATGCACCTTGAAGCCATACTGTTTTTCTTTTTTTTTTTTGGGATACCGAACCTTGCACTTGTGAGGCAGGCATGGTGCCCCTGAGCTAAATCCCTGGCCCTCAAAGCCATACTCTTAAGTAAAATAAGTCAAACACATGAGTGTAAATATTTCACTGCCTCTCTGGTGTGAGAAACTGAAAGTGTAAATAATGAGCAAAAGTATAATAGATGTTGGATGTTGTAAAATAGGAAGATACTGCTCAAAATTAAACCAAGTGTGAGATACTTTGTTAATAATTAAAATGTTTTATACAAAAAGTACAGTATTATTAAGAAATGACTTGAAAGATAGATTAGCAAATGAAAATATATTCTTTTAAGATCATGATACACAGTGTGCTTACCAGTGTTATTCTCTAATAATTCTACTATGAAAAATTATTTTTTCATAGAATGACTTTTATATTTTCTTTATTAATATCTACTTGTATAATTATTTAAATAATTTATTTTTTTGTTTCTGGGGATTGAACTCAGGACTTGCACTTGCGAGGCAGGTGGCAGAACCACTGAGCAAAATCCCCAGCCAAAAATTTTTTTTTAATTTTTTAAAATAGGCAATATAATTCTACGGGATCACTGTCTTATTATTGAAAAACATCATTATATGCTACATAACTGTAATAAGAAAAAGTCATTCTATTTATTCATGGCATTATCTTTTCTGCTGCTTTTCCTTCCTAATGCAGGTATCTATCTGATATTATTTTCATTTTTATTTAGGACTGCCTTAATATTCTTGCTGGTCTGCTGGTGGTTTAATTTTTTTTTTTTTTACTTTTATATATCTGAAAATGTTTTTATTTCCCCCTCCTTTTAAAAGATGTTCTTGAGGGCTGGGGATTTAGCTCAGTGGTGATGCCGTTTGCCTCGCAAGTGCAAGGATCCAAGTTCAATCACTGCTACAAAAAAAAAAGTTTTTGTTAGGTAAACTGAGGTTGATAGAGCTTTCTCTGTATTTTTAAAAGTGTTACTTCATTGTCTAGCTTGTACTGTTTCCAATGAGAAATGTTCTATAAACTTTATCTTTGTTTCTGTGTATAATGTGTCTGTTTGCATGGCTGCTTTTACAATTTTTCAGTTTATTAAAAGTTTTGAAGGCCAGAGATTTAACTCAGTGGTTCTACTGCGTGTCTCACAAGTGCAAGGACCTGAGTTCAATCCCCAGTACCTGCCCCCAAAAAAAGTTTTGAGCAATCTGAAAAAAAGAGAGACGAGCCTGATCAACTTGGCACAGTGGTATACACCCATAGTCCCAGCACTCAAAGACTGAGGAAGGAGGATCATTTTAAATTCAAGGCTAGCCTGAGCTATATAATGTGTTCAAAAGCAGCCTGAACTATACAGCAAGACCTTGTACCCAAATATCAAAAAGAAGAATGAGGGGAGGGGGAAAAAAAGGAGGATGAAGAGGAGGAAGGAGAAGAACAGCCCATGGGTGATTCTAGTCAGATTTCAAAAGGCCAGAACGTTGATAGAAATGCAGACAATGAAGGTCAGATTCAGGAGGTTTCATCTGGCAGATGTACTGGAGGCCATGTGTGTTATCTTCTGGCAGAAGACTGGTCTACAATTTCACCAGAGACTCTGTTAGAGACTGGGAAGTGGACTGATTAATCTTTGGAAGAAAATTTCAAGACAGCCCAATGTTCAGGTGGTGGCATGGGTACTGCTGACTGCTTATAGTCAATACTACAATGAAAATCAGGAGAAATTAGCAGAATTGATTGATTTGAAAAGTTTGCATTTTTGCCATAAGGGAAGTATCTGGCAAGTTGGGGTACAGCAGAGCACTGTTGCTGAAAACATTAGCATTTAAAAGAAGCCAAGTACTTGGTATGGGATGAAAAATATTCCTTGAGGAAATTTCAGAAATCTGAGAAACCCTCCACCCCTCATTGCAGGCTCAAAGGTACAAATTGTCTTTCATATCAGAA